TCTTATTATTTATTATGAAAGAATATTCCAAGAGTACTAATAGCAGACTATGAGTACTATTTTAGTACAGCAGTACTAAAACAAACTATGAGTCAAAAGAAAACCTCCATGAGAAAGTAACATATAAGTGGTAAATTGAGGGATAAACAAACATAAACTCAGTTCAAGAAGGGAGAAAGGACAGAAATGCGTGCATGCCCCAAGAATGGAAAACATGGGGAAGTCAAGGGATTTGAAAGGGTGCACAGGAGAGGGAAGCAGGGGCCAGATGGCAAAGCAACATTTGTTAAGCACCTTCTCTGTGCAGGGCACCATCCTCAGCACAGGGATAGGAGGCAAAGATGGCTCCCTGCAATGCTTACATTCTAGATCACACAAGACTTGGTAAACCTTGTCAAAAACTTTCCTCTTTGTGTTCATGAAGGATTTGAAAGAAAAGTATTAGTTTTTCTTGTCTTGCCCCTTCCCTTACCTCTTTTAAATACTGATGGAGAAAGATTTGAGGAATGGGTGCTAGATACTGAGAGAAAAGTTAAAAAGAAGATAGCAGTACTTCCCACTTAGGGAGAAAAAGGAAATGGGGCTGGTGGAAATATTGAAAAGACATTTAGAAGAAAAATGAACAAAATTTGGTGACAGACTGAGATGGGAGAATCCAGACTCCATTGTGGAAGGTCAGGAAGAAGAGAATGTATGGCATTGTTATCAACAGATACAAGGCTGTGTATTTGAGCTTCTCTGTAAGACCCTCCCCAGTGGCTCAGCAGGTTGAGCGCAGTGCTGTGAAGCTGTCTGCACCCTCTGCAGCACAGCCAGGGAGCAACCCACATGGCAAGCCGACCTCTCCCATCTCACCTGCTGCTCCCCTCAGCAGTGCTTTCCGTCAATCTGACTGTTCTGCTCCCTACTCTGTCTCTGGTGAATTCTCTCACCCTTCCAAGCCTCTGGCCTGTACCCAGCTATTGTATAAATAAAATAAATCTTTTCAAAAAAAAAAAAAAGTAAACACAATGGAAACAGAAACAATCTAATTACCGATCAATGTAATGTAATGAAATACACTGTGATATATCTGAGGAAAAAATACACATTACAATATATATTTATATGTGTGTATGTGTTTGTGCGTGTGAAGTACAAAAGAAAGATGATCTTTCTTTTGCAACCACATCAGTGGTTTTCTCTGAGAAACGGAACATAGCAAAGAAAGGTAACAATTCTCACCTATTGAGAAAACTAATATAAAACAGGATATTTCATTTTATATTAAAATAAAATAAACATGAGTTTATCAAATCAAATGGCGAGAAAAGTCATAATTATGTATACTAAGTGGGTCAGCTCATAATACAATTAATTCTATTTGAGGAAAGATGAGGGGAGAGCCTCCCAAGTTGTTAAATTACTCACTTTCCATAAAATCAGGTATTTGATCAGGTCCGAAATATCATACTACAAAAGACATTCATAAATATAACTGGGGTGTGCGTGGTCAAACTTTCTGTTACGTCATTATTTTAAATTCCATAGGTTTGAAATATGGTTTTCAACCTTCAGAAGAGTTCCAAGAAGATCTGAGAAATCTGACCCCAGAGTGTCTTATATTTGAGCAAGGCAAACAAACTAACGTGATTATAATAAAGGAGAAGATCACTAGAGGCTTACAAATAATGCTTACTACAGAGAAGGAATGATAGATAACTAGTCCTTTAAGGAAGAGCCACTTTAATACCCTACCAAAATATACTAAGTTGTTATATAAATTTATTATAATGTATTAAGTATCAGTTAATATTTTTAAATTAAAAATGTTTCCTAAATACTTTTACATGACAGATGCCTTCAAGTTTTTGTTAGAAGTTTCCCAGTATTTTAAGAGTACAGTTACCAATTTTTTGAGAATTAAGTTACTACTAATTACCAAGCATAGAGTTCTACTGTTATGTCTCTACCTTACTATTGGCTCAGCTGATAAAATAAAAATCCCCTGATAATGTCAACTACTACTAGAGAGATCTGTCTAAATACAGAAGCCGACTTCACCTCCACAATAATATAAGCTCATTCTGACAATTATTTCTTTCCTCATTGACCTAATAAATCTGGCTCTACTAAAGACAGAGTTACAGGGCTTCCATAAATCCCCCCAGTCTTGCATTTGTTTTCTCAGGTGGTAAAAGGAAAGGAGTATATGTTATATTCTCTCTCTCTCTCTCTTCTCTTTCTTTCTTTCTCTCTCTCTCTGAACACACACACACACACACACACACAACTCCCCCCACCCCAATATGCTCTGACATGCCCAGGCAATTGACCAGGCACTGCAACATTTTTGCGTGGAGTAGGAGTAGCATAGCAGGAAGATAACTGGATTGGACAAAAGTAAATGAATGCCACAAGAAAAACAAAACCAAAATCACCAATCTCTCAATCAGGATAAGATGTTACAATTGAAACTGCTTCTTTTATCTGTCTTTGGCAGGCATTCATCCAATATGAATTTGCCCTCTTTTTTTGCCATTCTAAGTAATTAAATAACCTTTGTACCTAAAGGTTAAAGCAAAGAATTTTTTATTAGTTGTTCTCTCTTGTGAGGACAATTTATTTTTATATCTCATCTTGATAGCTGCTTTGTAATTTTAGCATATTTGTATATTTGCATTTCTTTTTAAAATTAAGATTATAATTTTATTGTTCATTAACTTGCAAAATCATATTTTATAGACAGTTAGCTGTTTGTGCTACAGATGGGAAGTCCCTGAACAGAAAATCAGATAACCAATTAGGTGAGTCACTCAGAGCATGGGACTTTAAACAACTTGATAGCATTCTGTGATAATACTATATTATCTTCCTTTTATGTAATGTTTTTACAGTTTAGAAAACACTCTCATAAACTGTCTCTATCTTCCAGATGAGGAAACTAAGCCTCAGAGAACTTAAGTGACCTGGGAGTTTATGTGGCTACTAATGAACACGCATTAGAGAGCAGGGTTCTTAATGGAGGAATGATGCCACACTGTGATATCAATCTGTGAACACTTTGATCACAAAATCTGTGAATGCTTTGTAATGGAATGCAAGGTGTATATGCATCATCATTTTTCTGTGGAGAAGGTCAATGGTTTTCAATCTGATTTTTCAAAGGAGTTTTGTGAGTCAACAACCTTTCAGGACCACCAATTGAAAACTCAGATTTTTACATCAGACAAACCTAATTTAAAATACTAGTTCTTCTGTTTACTAGTACTGAGCATTATCACAAAATTATGTCTCAGAATCCTTGTGAAGGGTAAATATAATGTACATAAAACACCTACTACTGTTTTTAATAACTTCTTATAATCACTCCATGTAGCAGAGTTTACTGATTGTGCCTCAGTATCCATTGAGAATCTGAATTTACAAAAGGACAATAACCAGATCATTATAAAAATAGAACACTGAGTTACTGGACCAGGAAACCAACCTTTTTATCTATAAAAAGAACACCCAAGAAACCAGCCTGCTATACTAGAGACTTGCAGGAAGTCAGATTACTATCTCTGACAATAATCCAGAAAACTACACAATAACTTCTGTAACAATCAGTCCAAAATGTCCAGGACTCAATAACTGACAACTTCCCTAATTTTTGTCCCAGCTCCCAACTTAGGACACACCAGAGAAAAACAAATATGCATTCCTAATCAAACCCATAAGGTACCCCACTTCTAGTGAGCTCACACATAGCTTCCCCCTGCCAAGAGTCGCTAATCAGGATTAACTGTAGCTGTCCCATTGTCCTCCACTGAAAAGCTTTCCCATTCCTCTGCCTGACTGTGAATCTCTGCCAAAATGTCAGTGACAGTGGTTGACTTCTTTGCTATAGCAAGCGCAGAATAAACAGTCTTCCCTTGTCTCACTGGGTTGTCTTGATTGATTTTCATATTATTCATCTTCCAAAGTAACAGAAGTTTAGTTTTGGTCAGCAAAGACAAGCTACACATACCCCAGCTTCTCTTACAGTCAAACATGTTCGTAAGACTAAATATGACAATGGAATGAAGCTGACAACACAATGTAGCAGGCATCCAGTAGTAGGCCTTAAGATACAGACAGCAAGAGCCTTTTGTCCCTTTATGCCTTGGAATGCTAACTTGTTATAAACAGATTTGGTCTCTGAAAAATCTGATAGATCAGAGCTGCCATATTAGCTCCAGAATTCTGTGTTAAAATTCTATGTGTATATATCATATATAACAATAGCAGTGCCTACCATTTACGTAGTTTTACTATGGTGTGACACACCACTGTAAGTTTTTAATAAATACTGATTAATCATTAACCTAATTCTATGAAATAGGTTCTATTATTATTTTGTTTTTGAAAAAATGTGGGACAAAGAAGTTAAATAACATACTCAAGGACAAGCAGGTTTTAAGCTACTACTATTTGTGGGTTTTTAGAACTTGCAGCTGAACTTATACCAAATCGATGTCCTTAGAAAAGAAAGCTAAATAAATTTTAAAATAACTTTTCAGTTGTCAAACCAAGATATGATATGCAAAATCTGAAAGCAAGTCTACTTTCTATTCCCAGGAATAGGTCAGGTTGCTCAAGAACCTCCTTCTGCCCTCCTGTCCAGAGACAAAGGTTCAAAGGTGATCTTCTCAGAGAAATTAAGCTTAAAAATTTTAACTTTAGCTTACAGAAGAAAAACCTCTCAGTCTATTCCCAAATGGTTCTGGAGCATTTATATACCTTCATAGACCAGTATAAGTTTCACCAGATTATCATCATCACCATAGTCTACTACACAATACTTCTGTAACAATCAGTCCAAAATGTCCAGGACTCAATAACGGACAACTTCCCTAATGATAGTATTTATTACACATCTACCATATGCCAATGATTGCACTGATATCTTTGTTTTATAATATCAGATATGCCTAGATATTTAACAGACAACTCTATTAGAAAACAGTAACATTTTAAGTGTAAAAATTTCCTCTTACCTTTATCATTCTGGATAGATCACCAGCATCTGCTAATTCCAAAACTATGTTCAGTTCATTATCTTCAATGAATGATGCATAATATTTAATTACATTTGGATGGTTGAGTTGCTGAGGAAAAAAACAGTTATCAAAAATTATTTTTGCAAATTCCCAAGAGTTACAATTTCATAACTTAGGATAACTTAATGAACTTAAAAACCATACTTTCTTTTTGTAACAGAAATCTTAACATGAGCAGTTATCTTTGATATAACGCACTTCGAAAAAAATACTATAATTATTGAAAGTGAAACTAGCTATCAATCAATTTTAGCATTCTTTATTGGAAATAATAAAGCAAGTTATAGACACCACATTTTTTAAAGTATTGCTATATCCAATAAACATATAAGCATATGCAAATACATGAATGTCAGATTAAATCACCAGAGAACTAATATTTGAATTTATATAATTTCACTAGAAGTCAGTGTAGCAAAAATTGAGTCTTAAAAAAATCATTTTGTTTATAAATGTGATATTTTAATACATCACTTTTATGAACATATTCACTTACATTCGAAATAGCCAATAGTTCATTTGTTATTTACCTTAAGGAGATCTATTTCTTTGATGCAATCAGCACGTGCTTTGGCATCCATTAAATCAAATATCTAAAAAATAGAATCCAGAAAATTTTGTAAAGTAATATGGTTCAAACTCCAACTATAAGTACATCCACTGTAATACTCTACATATAATTACACAGACATTAAGAAATCTTTGTAATTATCTCACATAATCACTGCAGCTTGTGTGTTTTCTTCCAAAAGCAATCAATATTAAAACAATGAGAAAAGAATACAGCTAGATATTTCAGGTCTCAAATTCAAATGGAACAGAATAAAAGTTTTGATCATTAAGATAGAAAATTAATAGTTAATATACATTGAACAAGACATGCTAAAAGTATTACATAAACCACATCAATTGTCATTTAATCCTGATGATGGTGATAGTATTTGTACAGCATTTTACAGATGAAGAAAAGGAAGTTTAAAAAGCTTATGAGACTGACAAAAATTCACAAAGATAATGGAGCAGCCAGAATTCATTCTCAGTTATCCAGCTAGAACCTGAGCTCTAAACCATTAATCTATATTATCAAAGCATGGCTATGCGGTCTGATATATGAATTTTTAGTAGGGATGACAGCAATTCTTACACAAACAGACATATCAATGGAATTAAAATTTGGGAGGAATAATTAGGAAAAAAAAGTCTATAAAAGCTTCCGGGGGAGAGGGGGTGATAATGAAGGAAAAGCTGGGAAGTACTGTCCAGTGTTGCAAGTATAAAAATAAATAATACAATCAAAGGAATGTTCTCTGAAAACAATGTCTCCAGATTCTAAATGTGTGAGGAAAAAAACCCAATAATTAAAACATAACATGACAAATATTACAGACAACATCTGAATAAGGCACTACTATAAACTGATTAAAGCCTTAGCCACATAAGTAAAAATAAAATTTAATATAATTTATAGTCATCAACTTGACAAGTTTTCCTAATTCAGATTTGCCAATTGGTTCCAGGAAAAGTAGGTGTGTAAAATGAAAGCAGTAGTACATTCCAAGTCTTTTAAATTCAGAAAGGAATTATTGAACACCTTCCAAATTATGTGGTCTCTTTACATATACTACTTTGATCTTCACCACAATCTTATATGATGAAGGTTCCAATTTAGAACTGAGGACTGAAGCTCAAAGAGTGTTAAGTCACATGTTTATGGCCATAAAACCAGTAAGTGATAAACCAGGACTTGAATCTAGATCGTTCCAGCTCCAGAGACTGTTTTCTCCACTAGTACAGGCTGCTGTGAAGTCTAATACATACACAACTAACTAATAATTACTGAAATACATATTTGTGCAAAGTGTAGTATCAGAAACCTATGGTAGGAATCTCCATGTGGGGAGGGGGTAACATTAACGCAGAACCTTGACAGAATTATAGACTTCTGTCAGACAGAAATAACAGCTATCTAAGCCATAAAAGTAAATAAAGAACATGAATATATAATTAGTTTGTAGGAGACAACTCTTGCTTGGTATTACCCTTAATATCTAACATGCACATGGTTCTAACTCTTCCTCAATGAAATCAGTATGGGAAATGCAAATCAAATTTTAAAACTAAAAATTCAAGTTAGCTTATGGATTTTATTTTTGTTTTCAAATTCGATTTATATTTCCTATATTGAGGGGATGGGGATAGCTGTCTGGGCTTCCAAAACCTGATTCAAACATGCAAAAGAGAGTAATTCACTTCAGAAAGATTTCTGTATGAATACACAAAATCAAACACTTATTATTTAAAGGAGTAAGCTTTACATTCCACAAAGAAAAATCACTCACTTCCCAAATGAACAAATGATATCAGAAAATGATGCTACTATATAAAATGTCAAACTCTAATAATAAATACTGACATAAACAGAAAATTTTGACCTTGATGCAGCTACAGACATGATACATATACAGAGATTGTTTATTCTTAGGAATCAAATAGCAAAAAGAAAATAAGTGGAAAAGATAAATTAGCAGCAGATCATGAGGAAAAAAATGCAAGTAGGATATATAAAAAGTAAGGGACATTTATAACATTGTTGTAGCTTACTCCATCCAACGCCTTTCTTTATCACTGACATTTTTGAGCAGGAGTTGTTGATACTTTGGTAAAACATTGCCATATATTATTGTGTATTTATGACATTTCCATATACCATTGTGTATTTATGACTAAGTATGACTTTTTTTCAATTATCTGTTACGAACTGTTACATAGTTACTGTGCTCTGTTGCAAAATATTTTCATCTGTCTGCTTTCCCATTAATGAAATTTTATCACCTACTACTGTGCTAAAAAAAAAAAAAAAAAAAAAAAGAACCAAATGGCAAGATAAATAATTGATTCTTGCCAAATCATGAATGCTGATGCCATTCTCAGGAACTGCTAATCACAAAAAGATGAGTGATAACTCAAAGAACTGCTGGGAAGCACAAAATTTTAAATGTCTTAAGACAGTGAAAGAATTACTGAAAACTTTCAAAGAAACAGAGAAGGAAAATTCTGGTACTAATAATTAAAATGAAGAAAATCATGAACTTGGTCACATAACAAGCTACCCTTTAAGTAATCAATGTCTCTCTGATGGGAAAAAATATTTTAAAAAGGAAAAAAGACAGATAATAAGATGAGAATTAGATGTGTATGAGAGCTTCAGGAAACCCTAATGAGACTATCCACAAACAAATAAAACAGAAACATGCTACACAGAAATCATGACTCTTCAATTCAAATTTTATTTAAACTAATTTTGAATTACAAAGTAACTTGTTTTTTTTAACTGAATTTTCAATAATGTCAAAAGTTACTCCTTAGACACTGGAAAAAAATAAAAATAGCTGGCACATTTTGAAGCAAAACTAAATTCTGAACCAAAAACATATATTTGGAAATTCTTTTTCTCTTAGCTGGCAAGTCAAGACAAAAATAAATGCTGAATCTTTAGATTAAATCATTTCCAGACGTGGAATTCAAAACTGTCTGATTTCATGGGAAAAGGTAATAGTATGGGGAAAAAGTCTGAAATTCATAAAAATATTTTTCATAAAATATTCATAAGCTTCACTTCAGAAGGTATCTTTTTCAGCTCTCCAAAAATTTCTTGGTGTTTTATCCTTATTTTATACTTGGTATGAGCAGTTTTTAGCAATGTTTAGGCAAGTACTCGCTGATAAATGCACGGAATCATTTTAAAACTTTTTCTAATCTTCACAAACCTGGTTTACCTTTACTCATTTATTTACTTAGTTTTACAGATATGTTTATTGAGGTTTTAAAGTTGGTTTACATCGCTGTCTCTGCTTTGGAGGCTACAGATTAAAACTTCTACAAATGTGTGTGTTTACACCAGTGCCGCAATACTCCACCTTGTTGCATCGGGCCTCCTCCCTCCTCCATGCCCACCTCATCACCCTCCCCTCCAGTTTTGCATTCAGACATCAAGGGCTTATTATTGGTTTGGTTTTGACTGAATCTTTGCTTTGTTTCCCTATATCCACATATAAGTGAGATCACCAAGTATTTAAATAAACCTTACATATATGGAAATCTTAACCACCCTTGCACCCCACCATACCCCCCAGTTTTAGACAGCCTGAATAAATGAACTGACCAGTGTGGCCTTACAATAACTAGCCCTGTGTCCGATATGGTGTCAGTCCTTCTCCTTCTGATCTCACCCCTGAATTATGCCTCTGTTTACCCCAACTTTTTCACTGCCCACTTACTCTGCAGCCATATGATGTTTCCAACCCTCTATTCCAACTGCTCAGTGACTGTGCAGAACATCTCGCTAGCAATGTCAGGGGTGCAGAGAGGAAGCCTTAACTCTCTCCTCCATTACAAGGAATATTTTTACTATCAGTTTTTAAATTTTTGGTTCTCTTACTTGCTGACTGGTAGGCAAGGACCTTTCCCTACAGACCTCATCTCTTTTATTCAAAGGGAAAGAAGATGGATGAGAGAGGTAGAAAAGCACAGTAGAGGGACTCTGATCTCTCTAGATATAAATTACAATCAATGAACAAGATAATCTCCAATTAAGTTTCTACTACCAGCCCTTCCCTGGCTAAATATACAAGCACTCTAAAACATCAGAAAGGGGGGAGGTGGATAGATCTTAGTCAAGGTAAGTCCAGAAACCTGCTCCCTCCAACACCAGGGCCTGACATCTGGTTTCTCTCAGTCTATTGCACTCATCTTGATGCATCAACATGTCCAAACTGAAAATTAAAAGTCAGGCTTCAATTTCCTTCTTGTGGATTCCTTAAGGTGCAGGTATGGATGGCATGGAACTAGATACCTGTTTGTATTACTTATCATTCTATCATTACAAGACCTTTCCTTCTAAGGCAATGTCTTTTAACTCAACCAGTTAGCATAGAATGGTCTAACTTCCAGTCCATTAGTAAAACCTGTTCAGTAGGTTTTCTTCAAATTAATAACCCTTCAAAATCATCATAGTAATTCATCTTTCAGATTTTACACCAGCTTAAAGCTCCACAAAGTTTAGTTGGGGCTTCTATAGATTAAGTAGTCACCCTAAAAAGGTACATGGAAGACATGAGTGAAAAAAGTAGGTGCAGGAGAAGCAAAAATCCAAAATCAAACTGAGAAAAATGTTCCAAAAGGAATGGGGAAAAGAGAAGTCACCAAAGGGAACAAAAAGGGATATGAGGAGAGGTAGGCTAGCCAAGGCAGTGTAAGCATAGGAAATACGATGGATGGGTTTTAAGAAGTCACTGGTGTTGAAGCAACAGATTCTGTAGAGATACTTGTAAGAAAGTCAATGGATGACGGCTACAGGCAGAGAAGGGTGGGAGGAAGGGGGATAAAACCCAAAATGGGCAGAAGAAAAGTATTAATCCAGAGCACAGGTAGAGTTAAGAGAAGATGGGTCAGAATAGCTATAACAATCATGAAAGCACATCCAAGAGCAGAGATTACCTCTGTTAAACAGGAGATGACATTTTCTGCTGAGCATGAATTCATAAGGGCTGTGGCTGTGACTTGAGAAAAGCAGCTTTTAAATTTCACTGCAGGCAATATTATAACTATCTATTGATTTGGGGTTCTTAAGCTGTGGTTAAAATACATGAAGTAGAAAGAACCAGAGAGTGCATCTTAGAAGAAATGCAAGCAAAACCCCAAGAAAAGGCTTGAGTCCTAAGTTACAAGACCCAGCACTATGATTACATGTGAACAGAGAAATGAAGAATACATCCTGGAGACAAACTATGACTGGGGGCTAGCAAAATGGAGCAGATTTGAAAAAGCTCAATTTGCTCAATTAGCTGAAGAGGGTCTGGGATAGTGAAGAAAACAAATGAAACTGGACCTTACATAACAAATAATAGATCTGGAGAATATGGAATAGTGCCTGGCAGACAGGATGTGGTACAGAGAAGTCTGGTTGGAAAGAGGGGAGAGAGAGAGAGATGGGCGTTGTAGTTAGAGGAACTTTGAGAACTTGAGACAGAATAAGTGAGCACAGAGTAGAACATGATGGTAGACTGACTGGGCACCATGCGGTCAGGTGTGTGGAGACACCAGCTGCTGGTGTCAGAGTCAACAAAGTGGCAGGGGAAGGACAGGGGAAGTGAGAGCAAAGGGCTCAAGACCAATTTTAAAAGATAAGCCCCCAGGGAAAGCAGTGTGGAGGTGTCCCACAAAACTAAAAATGGATCTGCCATTTAACCCAGTCATTCTACTCTTAGGTGTCTACCTCCAAAATACAAAAACACTAATTTGAAAGGAAATCTGTACCCATATATTCATAGCAGCACTATATACAATAGCAAGGATATGGAAACATCTTAAGGTCCCAAAAACAGAGGAGTGGATCGAGAAGATGTGGTACACAATGAATTACTAGTCAGTGATCAAAGCAGACAGACTCAGGCCATTTATGGCAACTTGGATTGAGCTGGAAAGAATAACGCTAACTGAAATAAGTCAGAAGGTGAAAGATAAGTACTAGCTGGTGTCGCTAATATGCAGAATATAGAGAAACCAAACTAAGAATGAGAGAAAGACAAACTTAAAAATTAACCCTTCAGGATGACTATAGAATTGAGCATCTAGAGGGGAGGGGGTAAGGGATGAGGGAAGGAAGCACAATGAACTATAGTGGTAAGTTGGTGGCAGGTACCCTATGGTGGCAATATCTGATGGGGAGGATTCTAATGTTATCTCAATTAAAAGACTGGCTGTTAAACTCTCCCTGCCACATGAAAGCCACACCATCACTTTATTTGCATTTATACATTCTTCTGGCTCTAGATGACAAAAACTTGCACATCTAATACTTTAAAATCTCATAAATTTATCCATATTGACAATATTATTTATTAAATAGCTGACTATCTTTTCATAAATAATGTTTGGCATTATTATTACTATATAGTGCAGAGGATGAGTATGAATTCATTTTTCTATACAGCAGTTTGCAATTTTTAAAAAACACAACAGATTTTATAACTCATCTGCTTAAACTCCTTGGAAAGCTATTTATGACTCTTACAACAACACAGGACATATAGGTAATAGATACATTGCAGGCAGACAGAATCGGGTTACTGTCAAGTTCTGAGCCCTATGTTACTTCTCTTCTCACTTGGTTTACTGAGGTCACAATGATCTGCTCATAGTTCAGTCTATTGTTCAGGGCCTTTATGCTGCTGTTCTCCCTACTAGAACCTCTTCTTCTAGCTGTTAGTTGACTGACTCCTTAACCTCCACATCAGCTTAACTTCTATATTCTTAGTAATCCTTAAGTAAATACTTCATCTAAAAGACCTTCTTCTCCCATCTCATTTGCCTCATATATTATACCATGGCCATTTTCTTCATTACATGTGATTATTTGATTTACTGTCTGTCTCCCCAGCAAAAATGCTGAACTCAATTACTGTCTCCCTAGTGTCAACTGCAATGTCTGTCACACAGATGGCCAATAAATAGTAAAAGAACATCACAGATTTTTTCAACCACATAAATAATAAGTTATTTTAATTAGTCAATGGGTTCAGCCACTAGAAGAGTTTATAATTCAAAATTTTTAAGATAAGCTCATATGATCAAAACTTGCATTATCGTAATAATAATGCCTAAGGTACTACAAGCTGCTAATGAAAAAAAAAATTGCCAAGCACCAAAATCCTCTGAACATTTAACATGCCTAAATATTACCTCTTATACATGTAGAAACGTCCAGTACAAATGAAATTAAGAAACTTTAATTTTTAAGATAAAAGTATGCCTCACTGACAAGTAAACTAATAATTACTAAATTCTTCTCCAATTTTTAAAAATTCAACCTATGGATCATTCTTACAAATATTTCCTAATTTCCATTTGCTCATATAAACAACTGTAAGTTTACAATAAAGTCTATAGGGATTAAATAAAGAAATTGATAAAAGCTACAGTTTGAATTCAATAATCACAGTGAACACTGGAAAAGAGACTAATATGTATATGACCACGGAGGTTATGAATACACTGGATCACTATATGCATTATGGAAAAAGTTATCATTGTCCACTATTTCTAACTGCATGTAATTCTAACTTCTAATTAGATACAGACATGCAGAATCTAGAATCTAAAATTAACACGCTGAAAAGCAAGTCTTATTCCATATACTTTCAAAGATTATTTTCAGGAAGGTTTTGTGGGATTGCTTGGATCAAAAAGGTACCTTAATCACTTTATTTTTGTTTTGAAGTATACAAAAGTACTTCCCAGTCTCTCATAAGTATCACTGGCTGACAATGGATGTTCCATGATAAACAGTGTTATTTGGACATACAAATTCAGAGAAAACAAAGAAAAAATAAAAATTAAGCAGTAATGAACTAAGGATCAAACTACCTCATTACTATACCATACCATGTAACAATCATATAGCTTTAACCCATTAGCTAAATAACAAAATGGAGATTGCATGTAACAGATGAAAACAAATCTTGGATAATCTTTTCACAAGAGAACTGACATTCTGACACCCAATTCACAACCCCTGTCAACATCCCCAACATCCCCACATCACACTACTCAACGCCACTCCCACAATAGCATCCATCTCAAGATTACAGAGGTGTCTTTGTTGGAAGCCAAGTATCTCCAAAGCCATACACATTGACCACTGAACACTGTTCGGTGATCAAAACACTGGTGGAATGAACTGTATGAGCAATGGAAAGGAGGCAGGGTGAGTGGGAAGCTAAGTTGGTACATGGAATTTCAAACTGTTGCATCAGTTAAGGCACCATCTTAATTTTGCAAATGAAACATGATGGGATGTGAATAAATTTTCAACAAAATGGCAAATAATGTCACACCTCTATGTTCCCACACTGCTTCATGATTTCAAGGCAGCGTGCATTCAGTACACACACACTCCTGTTTTCACATACAGGCAACAGGCATCACCAGAGCTTATTAGCACACTGCTCTCTTAAAGGTCCTAGAAGAGTAAAATGTATAGTCTGAGGCAAAGTAAAATGTCTTGAAATCTAAGCTTAGGAACCTGGCTGGTAGCGCTAAAGTGTTTTGATAAAGAATTATAATCAGAAAAATAAATTATAAAATTATATGAACTCAGAAACAAGTGAGTACCATAGAGCTGTGAAAAGGATAAACTACAGCCACATGCACCAGCATTGCTGATTGTTCAATCATGATGCTGTGTGAAAAATACAAGTTGAAATATATAAATATTATATACTTCATTTATATAAAATTTTAAGGTGCAAAAGCAAACAGATTTATATAGAAACATATACAGATGTGGGGAAAACTATAAAGAAAAGAAATGATTAACATAAAATTCAGGCCACGATTACCTCTTAGAGAAGGGAATAGTAGACATGGGTCAAAAATATTTTTAATGTTTTATTTCTTAAGCTGGATAGTGGCTAGAAGGATGTCTCTGTTATACTTTATAGCTAACATGCATACCCTATAAAATTCTTCTATTTCATTAATAATATATGAAAACTGGTCATCTCTGCAATGGCTGTGGCAAGTATACTGATCCTTTTATAACGAAAAAAAAAAAGTGAGGAAACTGTTTTCACAGATGTCTACAGAAAAAAGATAGGAGGCCTCCATACAAAATGCAGGGATTATGGGAAAGGGTGGACAATGATGACCTTGTCTGAAAAAGGGAAGTAAAACTATGATGTCCAAAACACTGAGTTAGAAAGACAAGTACTTATGGACCAGAGAGCAAGTGAAATTAGACTGTCTAGGCTAGAGAGAGCAACTAAAACTTCCAGGGTTCCCCAAGTAAGCCCTGCAGGGAGGTTCCCTGGAACTAGTACACTGAAGCAAGGGCAGGATTTGCTAAGTGGAACTGGAGCAAAAGAAATGAAACTGAGGAAAGCAGGAACGGGTCGAGACAGGAGAGGAAAGCTAATTCTAGAATGATATAAATACAACATGGAGATTTTAAATCAGACCTCAATTTTCTTTTTTTTTTTTTCAGACCTCAATTTTCAAATTTTATCTATTTCATTTTTTTAAATAAAGATCACTTGATTTTCCTTTCATTTATTGCTGGTGTAGTTCTCTACATTAATTTAATACGTCACCTTAATCTTTTATTAACTTTAGGCAACAAAGTTTATGAGTCTAGTTTCCCACCATGAGACTCACAGTGGCAGAATTTCTGCTGGGGAGATGACAGTTACATGTCCGATTGGAAGCAGTGTTGATAACTCAAATCTGTCTCTTAAAACTATAGTTGCAAAAGTTTTTCCAGAGTCATTTCTGTCACTGCCCAATATGGGTAAACAAAACCAGATACATGTTTAAAGTTTAGAAATAATATTAAAACAAAAAATTCATTCCCATTGCATACTATACCCAATTCATATTTTTAAAGTACAATTTTTATTCTTTTTCAATGTTCTCAACTTAAAACTGTCATTTCCCAGTCATTCAAGACACACTTTCTTCTATCTATTATCACAGTTAATTTTACACTAATTTATATAATTAAAATCATCTTACCTGTACTTTTTTTAAAGCTACTGGTACTCCATCCAAGAGACAGGCTGCTCTATAAACTTCACTAAATTGCCCACGGCCAATTTTCTTTTCTATTCGAAAGTTGGCTAATGTATTATAGCCCATATCTGGTCGTAAGGCCTTCTGTAATTAAAAAAGTAGGAAAAGTTTTCAATCACACAATATACACATAATCATTGATTGTTTTCACATAAGTAGGTGATATTTATGGTAAGCTTGCAAACATCCAATCATTCAACATTTACTGAACTTTTATTCAAGCCATATATGTATAACATATATATATATATACCATGCCATATATAATCCATTTCATACATATGTGATTATATACATATGTGTGTATATGTATGTGTGTGTGCTCACTTAGTCCAACCTGCCAACCAATGCATGAAAAACTTCTGAACTTTCTGACAGTTATTTAACTTCTACAAAGAATATTTCTAGTGGCTTCACAGCAAAACTGAGAGGAATAAATAGAGATTTCCCAAATGTCCCTTATCCCCCATAAATGCCATTTCCCCATCATAAACATCTTCTACAAAACATCCCCTACTTTTGTTATAATTCACCAACGTACACTGACACCTCATTATCATCCAAATTCTTTGGTTTCCATTGGGGTTCATTACATGAGTTTGAACCAAAGTAGAATGACAAGTATTTATGATCACACTTGATTGTTAATGGATGCGTTCATCCAAAGGGTCACAGAGTAAATGATTAATTGAATATTCACTACACTCACACACCTCTTACTGCTAAAATTACAATATTCACACAAGACAGAATGCCTTGTGCACCTCATGACACTCATAGTCTATTTTCAGCATCTCTATCTACATAAAATATAAATAATCTAACTACCACATGCACCTGTATCTTCTCTGTTTTGGTTGAATGTGCACAGGCCTTTTCAAGAGTCCAGGACCACTGGTAAGTTAACTCTCCCAAACCTTTTGCGCCACCCCACTCACATCCTTCCGGGCCTTCTCTATTTTCTGAGTTAGCTTGGAATAAACATGACATTTTTGTGGGGTCTGAATAGTGCACCCTTGAAGGAAATTGAACATTAAACACCTACTAATACAATCGAAGAAGGCATTGGTTCTTAAACACACCACATTTAACATGAAATCTTAGCCTTTCAAATAAACCTCGGTTAAGGCTGATGGCTCCATGACTTATGCAGAAGACTGTTTTGATATATGAGCAGTACTTGGTATCAACCCTAACACAATTTATCTTGCTAATTTCAATACCTCGCCCATACTAGCAAACACTGTAAAATTCTGCTAAAGTTTCACTGGGGCTTTATACGCTGTATAATTCAGTCTCATGACAATTCTATAATGCAGATGTTATCACCCACAGCTAATTGATCCCCAAGTCCTGATTCCCAAGGACAGCCTATAGCTGTGGGTGCTAACAAAGTCATCTACAATATGACCTAGCATTATGGCACCCTATATGAGAATCCACGGATGTTTTCAGTTTCAAGTCTTTTGAGGAAGAAGAACTAGGGAGAAAAACTCATGTTAGAAATAAAAATGAAAATATAGGCCATAATAAAAAAATAAAATAATACAGGGAAACACCTTGGCAATCTATTCATTTGTAAGATTTCTCTTTACAGTTATTGAAATTAATTTATAATTCTCACTGTGACTTAATGCCACCATTTAGTGTACTTTGTAAGAAGACTTACAAAGTACACTTCTTAGATAAACTCAATGGATGTTATCAACTTCTTAAAAGTTTTTTTTGACTGTTAAATATAAGATTCATCTGAAGAAGAGATTTTTAAAATTGCCTTTGGTTTTCTAAGAAATCTTTTTTTAAAAATTTGACCATTAGGATAATCTGTAACATCTAAGAAATAATTTCCTTCCTTCCCCATATATGTAGAGACCTTTCTCCTGATAAGAACTTGTCAGTCTCAACAGTAACATATACAGCTTCATCATTAGGAACACTATCACACAATCCAAATTCTTTAAATTTGAGTGGGGATTCCATCTTCTGTCTGCACAATAACTGACAAATATTAGCGTGAACTGCTAAGGCACTGTGACAACCGCATGCTGAGAGCAAAGTCTCACTAATGTGTTTTGGCATGCAGGTTTGTAATCACACATTTACATATGCAATGACCTACATTTGCATGTCAGATCACACACTGTCTTGGTTTATTAAGACTGGCCACCTCCCTGTGCTTGGCGGCCAGAGTGGCGAGAGAGGGCCAGAGGGTGGTGTTTTTTGGCAGTTGAGGGATGAACTGCCACCAAGGATTAGGTTGATATGGCCTGAGCATTAGACACTTCATTAGACGTAATCTGTTTAACAGTGGGCAGAGTATGTAAACTTCACAGCCCATTTGCGGCACCTTTTTCCCCCCATGGCCTTTCTTCAAAGGGCAGTGTGGTTGAGTGACAGCTTGTCTCATCTGCTCCCATGTCCTGTCATCCAGTGTAGACTTGGAGAGCTGACATGAGAAGGAGCATAGCTGCACATCTCCCACTACCCTTGGGTCTTTGCCACACTGCAATTTGTGTAAAAACAAGCTTGTATAGGATGAGGTCTCCTTTAAGAGTCCATCAGATTGGTAGTAAACATAGTTCAGCAATATTCTACTACATTGTATTCAACGCCATACCTCATTTTGATGAGGTAGCACAGGTAGCACTACATTAAGTGCTTTAAAGAAAGACAGCATCATCAAATGAGTGGCCACTCAAGTGAGAACTCTTTTTTTAAGATAAGGCATGTTCTCTTTTTTGAGTGATATCCATTTCCCCATATATTTCTGAGTCAGCATTTGAATTACCAGCAATAAAATAATTCAGCAAAATGATGAAATTCAATCAGTAGGAAATACAAAGCACATAAAACCACTTTAATTACATGATTTGTGTTCTCCATTTGGTCTATAAACTGGGTCTTGATCTCTTGCAGACCCTTGACCTTCATGACTCAACTGCATAAAATGGCTTTTGTATTGTACATGAGTCACTTAAAAAACCTTAAACTTGTATGCAAGTAAAACCTATCCTGTTTCTTCCACTAAAAGATGAGGGTAATGCTTCTGTACCTATGACAGAGGGCTCTTAAATCACTTCACACCTAGCCGTGGGCCTCACCCACCAGCCACGCCATTGGTTCGCCAAGTACACCACAGCTTTGGCCCCTCCACGCAAGGCATTTGCTTGTCTTCATATCTTCTAAATAATTTCACTTTGCACACCCAACAAACCTAAACTCATCCTTGAGATTCAACTGTCAGCCCTTCCCAGGAATCATCTTCAGCTCACTCAGGCAGCTTTATTGGTTACTACCCTGTGCCTCCATAGGAGTTCACAGCAGTCATTCAACTCTATAAACACGTGTACAAACTCAGGCACTAAGCTAGGGTCTCACAATGGATTTTAATTATTTGTTTATTTGTATATATAAATATATATGAGTATATATATTTTCTCCCTCCAAAGTAGAGACCAAGTATCTTTGTGTCCAGATGCCACAAAGGTGGTCTGACATGTGGTAAACAAAAAATATTTACAAAATAAGTGGATGCGGGCTTCCCTGGTGGCGCAAGGGGTTAAGCAGTGCACTATAAAGCAATCTGCAGTCTCTGCAGCACAAGTTCAATCCCCGGCCGGCCAGGGAGCAACCCACATGGCGCAGCAGACCTCTCCTGTCTCACCGGCTGCTCCCCTCAGCAGTGTACTTCGGTCAATCTGCCTGTTCTGCTCCCTACTCTGTCTCTGGTGAATCCTCTCACACACCTCCCCCCTCCAGCATCTCTGGCCTGTACCCCAGCTCTTGCATGCATAAATAAATAAATCTTGAAAAAAAAAAAATAAGTGGACTGGCCTCCTCAGTGGTGCAGCAGTTGAGTGCTGGGTTGAGAAGCAGCCCGCAGCCTCTGCAGCAACAGTTTGATCCCTGGCCACCTGGTGAGGGTCCCACATGGTGCGCAGACCTCTCCTGCCACCCACTGCTCCCCTCAGCAGTGTATTTCGTCAGTCTGTCTGTTCTGCTCCCTGCTCTGGCTCTGGTGAATTCTCTCACCCTCCCGCGCTTCTGACTGTACCCAGTGCTTGTATAAATAAATAAATGTCTTAAAAGAATAAATAAATAAATAAATAAATGGATGTAACTGAAGATGTGAATGAATTTAAAAGACTTTAAAACACATAGTGCACGATAGTGACTATGACGGCTCTACATAGATCTGTGACAAGCAGTATAGTGCAATGTAAAGGCTTCAGACCTGCAAAACTTCCTCTAACAGCTCCCAACAGGAGAAATGGAGAATTCCCTTTAATCCCCATAATTAGATGATTTAATCAGTAATCCACTCACTGTCCCTGTAAGAACAATATGGGCAGCAATGAACAGTGTTTCAAATCAGTCTTGCTCCAAAGCCTGACCTAGATAAGGAATTATAGGAAGAATCTACTGAATTCCCATACAGCCCAGTAGAATAAAGCACAGGTCCTAGAGTTAGAGAACAAGCCCACATCTAAATCCTAGTTCTGATAGTATCTTTTGGAGCTGGGCAAGACATCCAAATATTGTTTCCTACTTTTGTAAAATGGGGTAGGTCTACCCAAGGAATTGTGAGTTTGATGACAAATAAAAATGACAGAGCCATGCACACAGCAGGTGCTCACTAAAATTTAAGACTCCCTTACCCAACTGTGCTAGTGGTAATATCCCTTCACCAAACTACTTTTGTAGAGGGCTCTTATGTCTATGGAGCCTACTTTATGTCCTTTATTTTTCAAGAATAAAATTCTTTTTTATTATAAACAAACATAAATCCTGAGATTTGAAACTTACATTGCCCAATATTAAATAGTGATTGTATCTATTTTAGTTTGACCCATCTTATGTTAGAACATAGGTTTGAAATTTTTTTTTTTAATTGAGATAACACTGGTTTGCAACACTGTGATTCAGAGAGACAGGATCACACCTCCTCAGATGAATGTCACAACACCACATCCACCACCCACTAAGACACCCGAGTCCTCTACCATAGTCCACTGTGCACCCCCTTCCCAATTTTCTAACAATTAAGAGTTTACCTTTATCTGTTGGTAAGTTTCCCATATGAC